AACCACAACGCCGCCCTGGTGGCCACGCCGGAAAACCGGCAAAAGAAAATGGCCAACAGAACAGAGGGCTGTGACCGACGCAAAAGATACGAAAACACGCCAGTAAAAGTAGGAAGCAAGCAGACTGGATGGGCGAAAAACTCCACCCAAAAGCAGAAAACCCAGGCAGGGGCAAACCGCCCTAGAACTGCTAGCAGGCATCCCCCACAGCCCCGTGAACCAGCAACAGAGGCTCCGGGGCAGAGCTGTCCTCCAAGCCCTCCGCCCTTAAAGAAAAGGAAGAGTCCATGGGAAAGGCAACAAGAAAGGGCCACTGGTAAGACCCAGAAGCCTTGGCAGGAGGAACAGGCTCGAAAACCTCCGTCCCCAACCCGAATGGGGCAGCCCCCGAAAACTGCCTGAGTCTCGGCCCCAACTAAACCTCGCCCTGACCCCGAAACCCACAGACGGTCCGGAGTTGGGAACAGGGAGGGAAAGGGGCGAACAGCACCTAACCAAAACAGGACGGCCTCGTGGCATCCGAGTGGGAAACCAACCTAGCGTGTTGCAGCAACCTTATCTAGCTTGCAACACAGATGCCGCCTGTACTCTGAACAGTAATAACATCAGGAGAGTACTGCAGAACAAGCAGAGAATCTCTCGCAAGACTCCAGGTCAAGGTGTCAGTGACCCAACAGGCAGCATGACGGAGGTAAAAGTGGCGACTGTCACCCAGAGACAAGGGTACAGCAACCAACGATCCCATACAAGACGAGTCGGAACCTGGAAGACACATTCAATGGTCCACCGAGCCCAGACAGAGGTTTCCAGGGCCCGTAGGCTGACTGCTACGGGAAGCCCGGGCAAGGTGTTGCTAACCGGTTAAGAAACCCAAAAATATCAAGAGGGTAGAGGATAGCACTGAAAACCCCTGCGGCGTGTACAATCACGGGGGCCTAGCAGTGGGCCACCAAACACTACCAGTGGAACTATAGCCACACTAGGCAGACCCCCACCAGGCAAATGAAAATAAAAACAAATGAAAATCCCCGCAAAAGTACACCGTCTCCAGAGGCAACAGGAACCGGTCGCCGCTTAGGTGGCAGGTTGCGCAACACCTTGACGCCCTAACCAGCACAATACCAGTCCCTACCCAGGGCCAAACAAGGGCCTCAAGCCCCAGCTGGCCCGAAGGGCGAGGCAAATACCAAGCAGCAAGAACCTCTACGGGAATGGTTCCCGAACGCCCCAGGGAATATTACCCTGTCACGCAAGGGCAGTACTCACAGGGCGCTTGGGAAAGGAAGCCCCTAAGCGCATGCAGCCCCGGCACTGATGAGGTACTCCTGGCCACCGCACAACACAACACAGGGCAATGAACGCCACACAAGGCAAACACCGCCTAGGAAACTGAGGCCAGAGAAGCGTCTATCCCGGTTGACATTAGCTGACAAACAGAAGCTAGGCAGCCGGCACGGTAGGTCCGGGTCTCCCCCCTCCCCCCTCTCGAGGAGGGGAGGGCTGCGCGGATGATCGGCGCGGCAGTAAAGTGTGATGTTTGCTTGTTTGTTTCCTTGGGATTGTAGGAGTTTCTACCTCTGTTCGTTTTTTTGTTTTAGTTTTTACCATGTGGGGTTTGTTTTGTTATGCCTACCTTTCTGGGTGCCTAACCCCAGTCGATGACAGATAAGGCAAACCCCAACCACAAGGGGGTTTTCCAGGGCCATTGCTCCCTGAAACCTCTCTGAAGGGGTCAGGTACTGGCGCTGGTCCCTGGTAGGTCTGAACTCCTTAGCTAATGTCCCGGTCTAATATAACATACATTAGCCCGATAAGCTCCAGGGAGCCGTAGGGGCTCCCCACAGAAACCTCATTAATTAGCTGGACAGGACACTGGGGAAACCATGAGATAACACTCAATCACTGGGGAGTTGACATTATGCCTGTTGCCACAACCTAGATGGCGTTGATCGTGACACGCCACCCACCAGAGGTCATCCACGTTGACCTCTCCTTCTGACTAGGACAGGAAATAGGAGCCATTGATCGCTGCCACGCCACCACCAACAGGTGGTGTTGTCCACATAGTGTCCAATATCAGGGGAACTGATGTGCCGACCCATAGATGGCGCCGAAATCGCCACTCCATACTCCAATGAAGGTGGCGCATGCTTGTTAGTTCGTTTTCCTGGGGGAGTTCTGTCCACTCGTTTGTCGATTTTTGTTGTTAACCAGAATAGGGGTTTGTTTTGTGGCACTTACATTTCTGGGTGCCTGTCCCGGTCGATGGCAGATATAGAATGCTCCAAATCACATGTGCATTTCTATGGGCCATTGCTCCCCGTGCCTCTCTGAGGGGGCTAGGTTCTGGCTCGTGGTCCCCGCTAGGCCTAGAACTCCACCCACATCGACTGATGCAAAATAATTAGGGTATCCATATCAGCCATGGATAGCTCCGTGGAGCCGTAGGGGCTCCCCCAGAAAAATGACAACAGGAGAATAAAACCCCTGAAAAAGGGTTTAAAACTTACCCAAGACGCTTGCTCGTACACCCAGGCGCATGTAAACAAACCACAACGCCGCCCTGGTGGCCACGCCGGAAAACCGGCAAAAGAAAATGGCCAACAGAACAGAGGGCTGTGACCGACGCAAAAGATACAAAAACACGCCAGTAAAAGTAGGAAGCAAGCAGACTGGATGGGCGAAAAACTCCACCCAAAAGCAGAAAACCCAGGCAGGGGCAAACCGCCCTAGAACTGCTAGCAGGCATCCCCCACAGCCCCGTGAACCAGCAACAGAGGCTCCGGGGCAGAGCTGTCCTCCAAGCCCTCCGCCCTTAAAGAAAAGGAAGAGTCCATGGGAAAGGCAACAAGAAAGGGCCACTGGTAAGACCCAGAAGCCTTGGAACAGGCTCGAAAACCTCCGTCCCCAACCCGAATGGGGCAGCCCCCGAAAACTGCCTGAGTCTCGGCCCCAACTAAACCTCGCCCTGACCCCGAAACCCACAGACGGTCCGGAGTTGGGAACAGGGAGGGAAAGGGGCGAACAGCACCTTACCAAAACAGGACGGCCTCGTGGCATCCGAGTGGGAAACCAACCTAGCGTGTTGCAGCAACCTTATCTAGCTTGCAACACAGATGCCGCCTGTACTCTGAACAGTAATAACATCAGGAGAGTACTGCAGAACAAGCAGAGAATCTCTCGCAAGACTCCAGGTCAAGGTGTCAGTGACCCAACAGGCAGCATGACGGAGGTAAAAGTGGCGACTGTCACCCAGAGACAAGGGTACAGCAACCAACGATCCCATACAAGACGAGTCGGAACCTGGAAGACACATTCAATGGTCCACCGAGCCCAGACAGAGGTTTCCAGGGCCCGTAGGCTGACTGCTACGGGAAGCCCGGGCAAGGTGTTGCTAACCGGTTAAGAAACCCAAAAATATCAAGAGGGTAGAGGATAGCACTGAAAATCCCTGCGATGTGTACAATCACGGGGGCCTAGCAGAGGGCCACCAAACACTACCAGTGGAACTATAGCCACACTAGGCAGACCCCACCAGGCAAATGAAAATAAAAACAAAAGAAAATCCCCGCAAAAGTACACCGTCTCCAGAGGCAACAGGAACCGGTCGCCGCTTAGGTGGCAGGTTGCGCAACACCTTGACGCCCTAACCAGCACAATACCAGTCCCTACCCAGGGCCAAACAAGGGCCTCAAGCCCCAGCTGGCCCGAAGGGCGAGGCAAATACCAAGCAGCAAGAACCTCTACGGGAATGGTTCCCGGACGCCCCAGGGAATATTACCCTGTCACGCAAGGGCAGTACTCACAGGGCGCTTGGGAAAGGAAGCCCCTAAGCGCATGCAGCCCCGGCATTGATGAGGTACTCCTGGCCACCGCACAACACAACACAGGGCAATGAACGCCACACAAGGCAAACACCGCCTAGGAAACTGAGGCCAGAGAAGCGTCTATCCCGGTTGACATTAGCTGACAAACAGAAGCTAGGCAGCCGGCACGGTAGGTCCGGGTCTCCCCCCTCCCCCCTCTCGGGGCGGGGAGGGCTGCGTGGATGATCGGCGCGGCAGTAAAGTGTGATGTTTGCTTGTTTGTTTCCTTGGGATTGTAGGAGTTTCTACCTCTGTTCGTTTTTTTGTTTTAGTTTTTACCATGTGGGGTTTGTTTTGTTATGCCTACCTTTCTGGGTGCCTAACCCCAGTCGATGACAGATAAGGCAAACCCCAACCACAAGGGGGTTTTCCAGGGCCATTGCTCCCTGAAACCTCTCTGAAGGGGTCAGGTACTGGCGCTGGTCCCTGGTAGGTCTGAACTCCTTAGCTAATGTCCCGGTCTAATATAACATACATTAGCCCGATAAGCTCCAGGGAGCCGTAGGGGCTCCCCACAGAAACCTCATTAATTAGCTGGACAGGACACTGGGGAAACCATGAGATAACACTCAATCACTGGGGAGTTGACATTATGCCTGTTGCCACAACCTAGATGGCGTTGATCGTGACACGCCACCCACCAGAGGTCATCCACGTTGACCTCTCCTTCTGACTAGGACAGGAAATAGGAGCCATTGATCGCTGCCACGCCACCACCAACAGGTGGTGTTGTCCACATAGTGTCCAATATCAGGGGAACTGATGTGCCGACCCATAGATGGCGCCGAAATCGCCACTCCATACTCCAATGAAGGTGGCGATACCGTAACATCCAACAATAAGGTAAATAAAGCTATAACACAGTATTTTTTGGTAGAGTAGTAATATATAGGTACAGTATATAATATGATAATGCATTTTTATTATGTACAAGAAAAAAAATGATACTGACACAAATGCCTCCTGAAGGTCACTTCTTGCAACAAATCCAACACCTGCAACGAACCAGAGTTGGTTCCACATAGTTCGCCGAATAGAGGTTGTACTGTATTATGTTCTAACACATCTTTGATCCTTTCTAATATAATTTTAGTTTCAAATCGTAGATGCAAATTTAATTGTGTAAATTATTACCTGAAAAGTATCTCCTCCCCGACACTGTCCAGTGGCTCAGCCTTCTCGAACAGGACGTATTTAAGGTGTTCATCACAAGCCTTGAGGATTGGTGCTGCCCATTTCTCTATGACTTTTTGGCCTGAAATATATCATCCACATCAGATTAAATGCATTTGCAATATTAAAAAATAGGCACATTTTACCTGTCTAAATGAGAAGACCAAACCACACACCAGAAAATGAAGAGACGACAACGTTTTGGTCCGTCCTGGACCATTATCAAGTCACACAATCGACTTGATAATACTCCAGGACGGATTGAAGTCATTGTCTCTTCATTTTCTGGTGTGTGGTTTGGTCATCATATCTTCAACCACATTATTGTGACTCGTCGTCTGCATAGTAGACACTAATTCCCATTAAAAATCTATGCTGATAAAGAAACAAAGTCGATAATGGTGAACAATACAATATTATCAATGGTGTATGAAATCAAATCAAATAAAAAACTTTACTCGTGTGTGGTTGTACAGTATAGATATGATTTCAAAAGTTTGCATAAAAATTACAGTACTGTACATTAATTATATATGATTCACAAGAACATCAGCAAATCACACAGACATCATCATCATTATCAGAATCAGAAACTTGATTTATAATTTATGCAAATCATTACAATACTCGCTGGACTAAACAGGTGTATAGCAATTTAAATCAAACACATTTTAAGCAAAAATTTAGTGATATTTGTCTTGATTCCAGATAGCCTAAATTAGGCTACCTCCTCTATCAGCAACCCGTTCTCACAAATTGAATAAGTCAATATTGACTTATTAAATATGTGCATAGGTGACATACTTAACATAATAGATACCCTTAAAAAGATTCATAGAAAACACCGACCTTACCTAACCTACTTAGTATGTTAAGATAAGCATCTTATTGCTTCGTAATTACAATTATTACCTAACCTATAATAGGTATAGGTTAAGTAATAATTGTAATTACGAAGCAATAAGATGCTTATCTTAAGATACTAACAAGGTTAGGTAAGGTCGGTGTTTTCTATGAATCTTTTTAAGGGTATCTATTATGTTTAGTATATCACCTATGCACGTAGTTAATAAGTCAATATTGACTTTACGAATTTGCGAGAACGGGTTGTCTATCAGAGATCTTCTCATTTGACAGCCATCAGTTTGTTGTTTATCTTTCAAATCAGAACATTTAATCCGACGAATGATAAGTATAGTAAGTGTGAATCGCTTGGCGACCTTAACCCTTATGCTTCTCTGCTATTAATAGCTGTCAACACTGCTCTGTACCAGAAATATAAAAATCGCAGGTGACATATTTTGGCCACAATATGGCGAGAAAGTCTGGCAAAATGTAGGAGTTGACAGAGCAAGCATCGGAGGCGGTCACCTCTGCCCGAGCTGTCAAGTGGGAGTTGCCACAAAGATATTATTACCTAATTACTTCAATGTCTCCATTTGAAAATTTTATTTTTCAGAAAAAAAATTCTGAAATTTTTCTTAGTTTTTTTGTACTAATATTATTCAACAGTGTGTGGTGTGATATATTTATGTAACAAAATGTGTGAATCATTGCTATACTCAAAAGCATGGTGTGCATATTAATGATTCAATTACAGTATTATGTTCATAAAATAATAAACAAATAGTTTTGCTGTTATTACACTATACAGTACAACCTCGATTCAACGTACCCTGATTCAACGAATCTCCAGCTAGTTCGCACACTTTTCAAGCCGGATTTACTCACCCAGTTTGACAAACAATGGTTCACCGTAGCGGGGGGATGTTCGGATTTGCTTACGATGTCGAGACAGAGTTCACAGACTGGTAGAAAACTTTCCCATTCTATCACAGATTACAATTAATAATTCGCTCATATGACAAGTTCGATCACACAAGTGGACCACACAAGTGGTCCACAAGTGGTCCACAATCTTATGATGTTGGGACAGAGTTCACAGGGTAGTGGAAAACTGTCTCATTCTATCACAGATTACAATTAATAATTCCTTCATAAGACAAGTTGGATCACACAAGTAGACCACACAACAAGTGAATCATATGAACCAAACACCAGCCAGAATGGTCCACACAAGTGAACGACTGAGTTTCAATGATTTTGATTCACTGATTTGTGGCACACGTATCTTTGTAAATTAAAGGCTGAAGCGTGAATAGCTAGCTAATGTGTTGAAATCTTCTTATATACATTTTCTGTGATGAAATAAGATGAGTGAGGGTGGACAGATAAGGGAATACTGTACAGTAAACCTTACTTTACAGTGAGGTTTCACTCACTTTCGTCTGTGTCGTCATAGTTCAGTGATCCATGACTTTGAACGTTTCAGGTCACTAAATTATTTCTAAAACTGGTGTTTTAATAACTCTTTATTATCCTAATTAAACTAAACTAAATAAAACCAAAAATATACTGTAATATGATAGATATCTGCTATTTGAGAAATTATTCATGTTATTGGCAGCACAACTCCAGCACGAGTGGATGGGTCTAATCCATGCTCTATTTGCGAAGGTGAATTTTCTTATATTTCTTCGGCATCTGTGTTTAGCTAGTTTAAATCTATGGCCTCTTGTTCTTGAAATTCCAGGTCTCAGGAAGTCTTCCCTGTCGATTTTATCAATTCCTGTAACTATTTTGTATGTAGTGATCATATCACCTCTTTTTCTTCTGTCTTCTAGTTTTGGCATATTTAATGCTTCTAACCTCTCCTCGTAGCTCTTGCCCTTCAGTTCTGGGAGCCACTTAGTAGCATGTCTTTGCACCTTTTCCAGTTTGTTGATGTGCTTCTTAAGATATGGGCACCACACAACAGCTGCATATTCTAGCTTTGGCCTAACAAAAGTCATGAACAATTTCTTTAGTATATCGCCATCCATGTATTTAAATGCAATTCTGAAGTTAGAAAGCATAGCATAGGCTCCTTGCACAATATTCTTTATGTGGTCCTCAGGTGATAGTTTTCTATCTAGAACCACTCCTAGATCTCTTTCTTTATCAGAATTCTTTAAAGATTTCTCACATAATATATAGGTTGTGTGGGGTCTATGTTCTCCTATTCCACATTCCATAACATGACATTTATTAACATTAAATTCCATTTGCCAAGTGGTGCTCCATATACTTATTTTGTCCAGGTCTTCTTGAAGGGCATGACAGTCATCTAAATTTCTTATCCTTCCTATTATCTTAGCATCATCAGCAAACATGTTCATATAATTCTGTATACCAACTGGTAGATCATTTATGTACACAATAAACATCACTGGTGCAAGAACTGAACCCTGTGGTACTCCACTTGTGACATTTCTCCATTCTGATACATTGCCTCTGATTACTGCCCTCATTTTTCTATCAGTCAGAAAATTTTTCATCCATGATAGAAGCTTACCTGTCACCCCTCCAATATTTTCCAGTTTCCAGAACAACCTCTTATGTGGAACTCTGTCGAAAGCCTTTTTTAGGTCCAGATAGATGCAGTCAACCCAACCATCTCTTTCTGCACACAACACCATGCGTGTTTTGTTCAATTTCGTCTCCACAGTTCAGTGACCTACGGGTTCGAAATAATAAAATTAATAAATCAATTCTAAAATAAGTATTTTTATAACTCTAATTATCGTAATAATGTTGCTAAACTAAATATATAACCCAAAAATATATAATTTGATGTAAATCCAATATTTGAGAGAAATTCATGTTACTGGATCTGGCTTAAACACCAGCCTACTATAGGGTGTATAGACCTAGTCTGCGTTCGTACAGTAGGCACCCAGTGCCCTTAGCTTTGTCTGTGATTGACGTATTTATCCGCCGGTGGATGAATAATTGTGGAATTTACCATTTTTTTACTACAGCTGTATCGTTATACAACAAAATGTTTCAGGGGCTTAATAATAGTGCCTTATTAATGCCAAAAATGAAGCAATATTTTGCAAGAACTAGTAACAGAAAATCAACCAGCACGAGAATAGCCATACCCAGCACGAGCAAAGCCGTACCCAGCACAAGCATAGCCGTATCCAACACAAGCACAGCCGTACCCAGCATGAGCACAGCTGTACCCAGCATGGGCACAGCTGTACCCAGCACGAGCACAGCTGTACCCAGCACGGGCACAGCTGTACCCAGCATGGGCACAGCTATACCCAGCACGAGCACAGTTGTACCCAACACTGGTACAACAGCAGCCAGCACCACCTCAGAAGCAGCTGAAGCAAACACAGCAGCAGTGAGCACCAGCAAAGCAGATGCAAACATCTAAGAACATCGTGTGTGGAGTGTACAGTTAGAATAAGTGTTAAATTTAAGTACATAGTATTAGTGTTCAAATTAAGGTTGCAGTACAGTAATTTTAGTGTAAAATTGTTTTCATAAACTGTATTGTAGTACTGAACATACAGCAGAACTACTTATCAATACAGTGCTAACAGTATAATACAGTACAGTACGTATTTACTGTACACCATTCACAACTCCATGAGAATTCAAGATGGACATAACTCCAACAATAAGGTAAATAACAACGGTAACACAGTATTTTTTAGTAGAATAGTAATATATAGGTGCAGTATATAATATGATAATGCATTTTTATTGTTTACAACAAAAAAAGACACTGACGCAAATGCCTCTTGAAGGTCACCTCTTGCAATGAATCCAATGCACCAGGGCTGGTTCCATATAGTGCGTTGAAGCGAGGTTATACTGTATACACAGGTTATATGCAAGTATCTGCATGTTTTGTTCACCATAACAAACCACTTAAAAAGTTGGTATGGTGAGCCAAACAGCAACAAGTGGCAGCCACACACTAGCCAGCAAACACCACCACCTTCCCTCCCTCACCAACACCTCACATTTCTCCTACCACCATATGTTTTTTGTTTTTATTCACTATATACAGCTGTTATATATAAGTATCTACATGTTTTGTTCACCATAACTCTACAACTAAGCTGGTATGATGAGTTCAGACAATAACAGAGGTCGCCACACAGTCAACTGGTGGCTGCTGCCCTCAATGGTTCAAGGCCAGATGCACTAATATTCCTCCTCCAACCATACTGTCTGTGGTGT